TAAAAAATAAATTAAAATATTTTTTGTACTTTTTTACAATACTTTATTAAAACATTTGAAATAAATTTTCTCTTAATTTTTTTCAAAATAAAATAGAGAAATACCAACCCCTTATATTTATTGTAATACATCTTTTATTGGTTAAGCTTTTAACATCCCAACGGACGGTTGGTCAGTAAACTACCTTGCTGGGCCTGGCTAGGACCGAAGGTTATGTCCTTCTTCCAACTTAATCCCTACCCCTACCCACCATTGCCATACCTACCAAAGGGTTATTTGCGTCATTTCACAACATCCCATTTTGAATAAAAACCAATTCTCGAATATATACATATATATATTTTTTAATTTTTGAAAAAACACAAAACAATTTTCGGTTTCACAATATATTTTCTCTCTCCACTGTCGCCTGAGGAGGTGACCGTCACCTCCTTCAGAAAAAACACCACTCCATCTCCGTCGGAAGAAAACTTTTTTAAGAAAAAAAAGAGAGTAAGATTATTCTTCTTCCTAAAGAGCTGCCATGGCGTCGTCCGGCAGTCTTACCGACAAGAACGTCGTTTTCAGGAAACTCAGAGCAAAATCAGAAAACAAGGTTTGCCTACTTTGTTTCCATTCTTTTTTTCCCCTTCTAAATTTTGGGATTAATTTGGATGGTTTTATGAAGATCTCATTCAGATCTGGAAATTTCTGCTATTGGGTGTCTTCGATTTGGCCTGCTTATTTTGTTTTTCTTCTAGATGTATAAATTAAATTTTGGGTTTTTTTTTTTTTTTGGTTAATTAGATGTGTTTTGATTGCAATGCTAAAAATCCTACATGGGCATCTGTAACCTATGGGATCTTTCTCTGCATCGATTGCTCGGCAGTTCACCGGAGCCTCGGTGTCCACGTTAGCTTCGTCAGGTATTCTTCATTGCGATTTTGTGTTACGTATTTTAGTGTTGATATTGCATTTTTTTTTAATTTTTTGGACTTTTTTCTTATGAGCCATAGATACCCATTTGTGTTTTCTCTTGCTCTCTAATTAGTTCTTATGCTCTGCAATTGGGTTACCTTATCCACCGGAAATTAGAAGGATATAATAGCAATTTGAAAATGCAGGACCTAAGCTTCTATCTTTAGAGGCAGTGCTTTTCTATTATGTTTCATAAGATAAATGCAAGATTAAAAATAAGTAGAAGGAAACTTACTAATTGAGATTTTATGCCCTTCATCTAAAGGAAGGAATTCAATTGAGAATATCTATTTCAAATTTCATTTTATAACCATCTCAATGAGATAGGTTTCTGCTAAGAGGTCTAGATTTTGCCAGTTAGATTTTTGAATTTGTTGGACATCCTTGGATTGATACACCTTACATAAAATTGTTATGTAAAACTAATTGTTTGGCCATCAGATGCTGTTTTTCCTATTCCATATTAGTATATTCTGTTTCTTCATTCTTTGTATGCTTTTAATCTATCTTTTTTTTATTTCTTTTAGTATATTCTGTTTTTCCTATTTCTATAATATTATTTATCTATTTTATTTTAAATTGCTTGTGCTTATGCAGGTCTACAAATTTAGACTCATGGTCTCCAGAGCAATTGAGGATGATGATTTATGGGGGAAACAACCGTGCTCAAGTTTTCTTTAAGCAGCATGGATGGACTGATGGAGGCAAAATTGAGGCCAAGTATACTTCAAGAGCTGCTGATTTATATAGGCAAATACTCTCCAAAGAAGTTGCTAAAAGTATGGCAGAAGAGGGAGGTTTGCCTTCATTGCCTGTTGCTTCTCAGATATCACAAGCTAGCAATGGAATTCCTGAAATCAAGACAAATGAAGCTCCTAAGGAAAGTACCTTGGGCAGGCATGACGCACCAGAAATATCTGTATCACCAAAAGCTTCTAATCCAGTTGTTTCTAGTACTGTCAAGAAGCCTCTTGGTGCAAAGAAAACTGGGAAAACTGGGGGCCTTGGTGCAAGAAAGCTTACTAATAAGGTAATTCAATCATCCTCTATCTTTTTGGACTTTTACATGCATGTATGATTATAAATTTACAAGCACAATTATTGTAAGCGATTTCTTTATGTTTATTCAGTTGATTATTTGCAGTTATTTGAAATGCCTTATAAATCTTTGTTGTCAATGCAGCCAAATGAAAATCTTTATGATCAGAAGCCTGAAGAACCAGCTCTTCCAGTTCCTTCTGCACCTAATAACAGTTCTCCAGGTGGCCCATCTTTCACATCCCGCTTTGAATATGTAGAAAATGTTCAGACTCAGGAGTTAAGTTCTGGTGATCCACAAGTGCTTAGCCATGTAGCTCCCCCCAAATCATCAAGCTTCTTTGCAGAATTTGGAATGGAGAGCAGTTTTCAAAAGAAAACAAGCTCAAATTCTTCAAAAGCGCAAGTAAGCAATCTGTGTATTTATTTCAGGTACATGTAAGCAGCTTGCTAGGTTTAGCTTTAGCTTTGAATAGATCACTTTCTTTGAACTGAGAATTTGGTAAAGTTTTAAGCTTTGAATACAAGTTTGGGAGTTATGTTGCATAGACTCTGTGTGTTAAAATACTAGTGGTACCAACAAATGGATTTTCTCATATCCATTGGGTATATTGTTTTCTCTGAGTTTCTTTAACTTTGGACCTCCTCCTAAAGGAGAGATTTTGCCAATTTGCATTTTTTAGGCTATTGCATTGGCTGCCATGTGGGTCTATGCATATGCTATTTGTTAGTCCTCATCATTAATGTTTTTGTTGCATGTGTCCTGTAGTTTTGCTGCTGACACAAAATGCTCACATTTTAAATCTTTCATTGGTAGATGAGATCAAACTTTTTCTTAGATTTGAGATACTACATGGTTTGATTCAGCTCACTTTATTAGCTATTGGTTTGGTGAGTAATGACTCTGCTTCCTCTGTATTGTTTTTGTTCTTGAATCATCCTGTTACCATAGATTCAGGAAACTGATGAGGCTCAGAGAAAGTTCTCAAATGCAAAATCTATTTCATCAGCCCAGTTTTTTGGTGATCAGAGCAGAGCAGCAGACATTGAAGCTCAAGCTTCTTTGCAGAAGTTCTCTGTACGTGCCCTTCTATGCCTTATATATATTATTTTGTTTCAAGGGACAATTTCTTTCTAGATTACCGAGTGGTTGATTTTGTTTGGAGTTTGGTGAATTTGTGTGCTATATGTTAAGCAGCCTGCTTGATGTGATCTGTTAACAAAATTCTAATAAAAGACTAGTAGAAAACTTTTGTAACAGTTTGCTTTGGATTGTAACACAGTAGAATTTTACTGCTATGGCATCAATTAATATCCATCTTTTACAGGTTGTGCATTCATTTTGATTAATAACCACCTTGTTTTCCAGGGTTCATCAGCCATCTCCAGTGCAGATCTTTTTGGCCATCAATCCGATCAAAATCCTCTCGACCTTACTGCTAGTGATCTCATAAACCGGTTTTCTTTCCAGGTGCGGTTTGTAGATGGTACATTAATTATTTAAGATTCATTGGGAGCATGTGATGTTGGGATTACCTCTCGCTTTTTTGCAGCCAATTGGATTTCATTTTTCCTTAACATTTACCTATTATCTTATCAAGAAGCTGCAATGTTACTTTTCAGGCACAACAAGACATCTCTTCCCTTAAGAACATTGCTGGAGAAACTGGAAAGAAGCTTAGCTCGCTGGCGTCCTCTCTCATGACAGATCTCCAGGACAGAATCCTGTGATATGGTGTCAATCTACAAAATGTGCAAGGTGTCATGTCACCAAACACCAGCCAGTTCTTGCATAGTGACTAAAAAGATTTAATGATAAATTCTTTTTCAGGACAAATAAAACTTAGAATCTTAGCAGGTACATAGCAGGCTGGTTTACATATTTTGTAGTGCATGGTTGTTTTGAGATTGATTATGAGTGTAGTTTTCTCATTCAGTAATTGTATCTTTGTATCACTCTGCAAACCAAGCAAAGGTTTAAGCAGGAATTTGATCTTATGAGCTATGTTCTAAAGCTATCATTGCATGTGACAAACTTGAGTCCGCAGCCATGCTAATTTTTTGCAATATGACCAAGTTATCTTGGTGCCTAAAGAGGTGTCAAGAGATTGTTGAAAAATTTTATGTCATGGTACAAAGAAAAATGCTATAATCAACATAAAGATCATTCAAAACCAGTTTCTTGCAAGATTTTACTACTAGAAAGATAATGTGTCTACCGTCAACATATTACCAAAAAGCAGTATAATCATTGCTTCAAAACTCCATCCCCATAGATATTAAGTAAATAATATGATAGTTAAGGTGGCTCGGAGGAAAGCATTATAAGGCAAAGTTGTCTTGGAGCCCCACCTCAAAAGGACAAGCAACCACAGTAGTTAATCAACGCCTTCTCCGCCGCTTCTCAGCGATTGGAAATTGGATGGGAACAGGCAGGGTAGCCAATAACGTGCCTTTCTCGCGAGAGAATTTGCACCCCAAGTTCTCAAAATGTCGTCTCAAGTCTACTGGACTTGTTCTTAGATCTTTTGCTATATCTGATGGGTCAGTCCGGAATCCATCAGCATGTAAAGTGAGCACCAAGACATAACTGGTGAGAAGATTAATTTGATCAGCTGTTAGTCTTTTCGACTCTGAATCAGCAAACAAGGTTGTAAACTTTCGGCGAAGAATGGGTGGGATTTTATGGTGCTTTGCTGAAGAGAATCGATCCATGGAAAACTGATCATTAAATTTTATCAGATGATTAATAAATGAGAAAACAGAGCAAAGTGTCTTCTGCTCCACTTCATCCTGCAATGAGAAGCAGCATAGAAATTTAATAATCAACAAAATGTTAAAAACTCAGCAAAGAGAGAGAGATGTAGTAGATGATGTAAAACTGATTCTGAGAGAGAAGATATTGGAGTGTGTATTGTAAGAAAAACTACTAGGGAACATAGAAATGCCTAAGCAGCAAGGTGAACTCATATTGTGAGCATTTCATTTTACTAACATGTCCTGTATGACCAAGAGTTTGGATGTTCAATATAAAAAATTATACAAGCACATAATATTTTTCATGATAAACCATTTAGGTGATTCCAATGTCTGTTTTATACTGATTTTGGATAAAGCAGGTACTTTCTCATGGTCTTTAGCGAGTACATTCTCAGTGGCCTAGATATTCACAATGATTTTGCCTTTTTCTTTCCTAATGTAATAATGAAACCTTTTCTTCTGAGTACCAGCACTTAGCAAGCAATAAGAATTTAAGTTTTTTTTACGTCTTTACCTGAATATCCTGCAACTTATGGAGTCTGTTGCTGACAAAAGTTGGATATGTGTCAGTTGAAACTTCTGCACCTTCTTGCAAAAGCTTATAGATGTCTTCAAGGAATTCCCATTCTCCTCTAAGGATGATCTTGTCAAGTGGATAAGCCTCCTGGGGTGTAGCGGCAGACAAGTCATGAGGTGGGATATTACGAGCAACATGTGCACTGGTACTTTCTAGAGCCACTTTATCAATGGAAACTTCCTTCATCCTCTCCTCAAGAGTCTTCTGTGATGCAGGATCAACTTCCTTGTTCAACTCTTTCCTTATCTTGTCCTGATACATTACATTATAAAAAATTTAGAAAATCAAAATCATGCGCAAATTGCTGAGCTCAGTTTCATTCAATTCTATTGAGTGTTCAAACCTAAAACCTTAAATTCAAACAACATGGTCTATAGAGCATTAGAAACTGTTAAATAAGGGCTTAATGAGTAGAAAAATCCCCTCAAATGACAGTACATCAGAGACCCTGCAAGGTATCCAATCTCTCTTTCCAGTTTGGATAAGTAATTGTTGTTGTACTCAACAACGTTAACGAATAAATTGCAATTTATTTTACCACTTTATAAGAAAAACAAAAATACTTACCATACTTTAAAACTAAAAAATTAACTATCAGACATCTCACATCATATCAGTAGAGCCGAGCACAAATATTGTAATTCATGGAAAAAATAATCTTAGCATCGTGAAAATGGCTGCGTTTACATCAGTAAACATGTTGATCCATACACAAGAAAACTTTAATATAGGCAATTTATTTTACTAGAAATAAACTAATCCAAAATAATTATACTACCATTAGCTTATAGACGCATGGAGACTGGTAAACTAACCATGAAGACCTTCATTCAAAAGAATTTTAAGATTTATACATCACTCTAAGGGAAATGAGAAGACAAACCCGCTTTATAGACTTCTTGCTTCCATAAAGACTAGTAAGCTCATTCATTTTCTCTTCTTTGTCTGCTCTTGACAGTTCCGATTTTGCTGAACTCGAGGCTTTCTTGTCAGAGCAATCTGATGTCCTGACTTTTGGTTCCAATCTAAAAATCTGTTAAAAAAATCAGACAAGCCCCTTATAACTATCAAAAGCACTAAAAATATCTCATCCAATCAAAATACAGAACTAATTGCAATTACTGATCTTAACCCCTTTCTTTTCCATTTCAAATACAGGATAAAGAAATCAAAGCTAACAATTGCACAAGAAATCAAATCCTTTACTGCAAAGGTAGATGCTTCATGAAACGTAAACACAAAAACCTTCTATCAACTCAGAGAACCCAACGCATAAGACAAACCATCAAGATTGAGTCTTTGACAATTTACCTTATTAGCAGCAATGGGAATGATCTTCAAAGTCTGTGTCTCCTTATCAAGAACACCAAGTGAGTACCTGCACAGCTGAGCGGCGGCTGCCTCACCAGCATAATTGGTCCCCGCAAACTCCACATTTGAATCACTCGGTTTAACCACAACCTGCAGCCTGTTAGCCTTTCTCTCAGACTTGTTCCTGAAAACCTTGACACTCGGTGGGCTGTTCCTGTTCTTGCAGGGGTCATACCCAGATGAGAAATAGGAGACTATCGGAGCGATCTTGTTGGGATCGTCAGGGATGACTTGGACTTTTGCTTTGACGGTTTCCACTGTTTCTTGGAGCTCCGCCGGTTCTTCTACTCCTGCTTCTTTGTGCTGCTTCTCTCTCTTCCTCTTCTTGGTTTTCTTGGAAGTAGATTTTGAGGGTGATAAAGGGTCATGTTCTGTATATGCCTCCATTGGAGAAAGCTATGGTTTCTGAGAGGCGGGCGACGGAGGTAAGAGAAACACTCGCACCCTAATTTCTCTGGCTTTTTGAGTGACGAGGAAGAAGAGGCAGTGGAGCTGCAGCCCAAGATCCCAGTCTTTTCTTTATCGGCCTAAAAAATTTCTTTGTTGTTTGGGCTTACTGCTATACCAGGAGTTAGGCCTAAGGCCCCAATCTATTTTAGGGCTTTAGTTTGGAATAGCCACTAAGTTCGTTTGTAAACTTAGTTTTTTACTCAATTTCACACTTGAACTTGTTCTTAGGTTAATCAAATCCACTATGGTCTAGGACTGGTTATGACCAAAGTTTTTTTCCTTGGGTTCAAGGTGGTGGTTTTTTTTTTTTTTTTTGGATTTTAAGTTGTAGAATAAAAAATGACTTTCTATCATTTTTTAATTCATTTTCATACCATATGTTATAACTTTTTTAGAATCAAGTTAAGATTGAAACTAATGAAAAAAAACATATAATGTCTCAATTAATTTCTTTCTTAGTTGCCTTCATCATCTTTTATATGGATATTGATATTAATTGTCACTTTAGTAACATAAAACAACATTGAGTTTTTTTACCTAAATCTTCTACATAAGTTTCAATGCAAGATAATGAAGTTGACTGAAGGCTTGTGAAGGCATTTTCAATCCAAAATAATTACACTACAGGGGTGGTGTATGTTCTTTGGATTTTAGTTTTACGCATGTATATGAGAACTTGTGTATGTGTTTGTGTATTTCATGTTCATTTGCATATTGACGTTTGTGATCCCTATGTTTGAAAGAAGTTTTTTTTTCATGTTTTTTTGCGCATTGGATTATTGAATTTTTGTTTGATAAGAATGTATGTATTGTGTCTCCTCTCGGTGAAAATATCTACAATTAGGATGTTGAAAAGGCCACGAAGAGTGATAGTTTCCCCCAAACGGCATCCAGCTCCAATAGTTCAGGTAGAGGTTGTCTTGCATATTGCCCCGCGAATCAACTAGAGGTAAGATGATGAGGTTTTTCATTTTTTCTCTTTTTTTTTTTTTCCCAAAAGCATTTTACGGTATTCCTTCCAATCATTTGAAAGAAGAGAAACGGAGTTGTTGTAGATCGAATTTCGCAGAATAAGCCTCCCATGGATCCACACAGAATTTGAAGCTCTTAGATGCATTAAAAGAATGCCTCCTGATCGAGGTGCAAGATTCCTTGCTGTTGTCATGGGACCAAATGGTGGTATAGATAAGAGAAAACTTAGATCATCTCTGTCTAAAAAGACCAGCCCTCGCCGTAAAGAAAAACATGGTCATCTGATGCCCCCGTACCCATTTTAAGTTTTACGTACGGTGAGCAGATTCAGATATTTGCTAAGTTGGAAATACTTTCTAATGAACTGGATCTAATGCATGACAAATGCAAAATTCTCCGTGTCTCCTATGTACATCGGATAATTTCTTCGAAGTGACATCTTGCTTATATTCCAATGCTATGAAGAGTGCGAATAGACCATACTACTTCCTCCACCATCCAAAATCAGCCTTGATCTCTCAGGAAAGAAAGTTAAAATGCCAAGTTTCTTTAAACAAGAATGATTTTATTTTTTTAACATTTAATAATAAGTTATATGAATAAAATAATTTCTCTCTTTTCTTTTATATATATATATATATATATTTTGAATATGAGAGAATGAAAATTTACAATAATTAAAATTAAAGTCTTAATTTTAGTATATATGCATCATATCGAATGCAACAAATACTGCAAGTGTTTCTTTTATTTAAAATTTTTTTTTATCCAACTCAAAATTTATATATATTCTTGATTAACCATTTAGCCCTCCCTTGCTAGCAAAATAATGCAAGAATGTAGAGCTTCAAACGGTTCTCGATCTACGTCGTAAATGAATGGCCTAGGGAAGAAGAATAAGTAGTTATATTGACTTATGATAGTAGTACAGCTTATGAGATCATCTCGTTCATTCAACATTCATAAATTATATAGCTTCATATAGAATACAGAATACAGATACCTTCAAGCATTTTGTTCCCCACATTAACCTTATTTTTTATGATACTATCAGTAAGAACAAGCCATTTTTGTAGTCCTGGCATGATGGAGAGAAGCTATTATCATCAAGGGACATAACCACCAGCACCACCACCTTCACCACTTCCACCACCAAATCCAGCACCTTTACCACCACTACCACCACCACCTCCGCCTCCGCCACCGCTACCACCGCCGCCACCACCTCCATGCCCACCAGCACCTCCAAACCCAGAACCACCACCTTCACCACTTCCACCACCAAATCCAGCACCTCCACCACTACTGCCACCACCACCTCCTCCACCACCACCACTGCCCCCACCGCCACCACCTCCTTGCCCACCAGCACCCCCAAACCCAGAACCACCACCTTCTCCACTTCCACCACCAAATCCACCACCTCCACCACCACTGCCACCACCAACTCCTCCACCGCCACCACTACCCCCACCTCCACCACCTCCCTGCCCACCAGCACCTCCAAAGCCAGAACCACCACCTTCTCCACCACCCTTACCAAATCCAGCACCTCCACCACCAGTGCCACCACCACCTCCACCACCACCACCACTACCCCCGCCACCACCACCTCCCTGCCCACCAGCACCTCCAAACCCAGACCCACCACCTTCTCCACTACCACTACCTCCACCATACCCACCAGCACCTATAGCTCCATATCCACCACCACCTCCTCCTCCTGAGCCACCACCTCCACCACCTACAACACCACCAGCAGTGGCAGCATGTTTTTCTCCATACCCAACAGCTGGAATGTAAGTAGCAACTTCGTCGAGAGTTAGGAGAGCTCTTCTAGCCGAGCACACTCCTAGCCCTAATAACACAAACAAAACAACACTAAATAGCTTGTGAGTAGTCATTGGAAACATATGTTTTCGTGACTGAGAACGTAAGTGACTAAGGGTATTTATAGGGATTGGATTGGGGTCCAAAGACGCGTTTGCTGCAACGAGAGTGGTAGAAAGCACATCCAAAAGGGAAAATTTTGGGTGTCCCACCTCACCTTCTATACTTACACTCTCACATCACTAAAGTAAAATTCCACTTGTGTGCTTTAGCTGGCTCCCATATTTGTTCATCTTCTTCAATGTAATACATATGAATTGTTATAAGCTAAAAAAGACTAACAATATGTTGGTCTGATTTGAAGAAGTTTGGAGAAATAGGAATTGGGACAAGTTTTTTCTTATGAGGTATAATTTAACTTAATTTTAGATTTGTCAAGTTTTAATAACTTTTGGATATCAAGAGTTTTAGTAAAAAAAAAGAAAAAATCCTACAAAGCCAATTAACATAATCCTCCATCATTTTATGCGTGATGGATATTTGAGTCACACCAATGGCAAGTTTGGGTATATAATTAAGCAGGTTAATGTTTGCAGAGAACACTAAATAATTATTATTAATAAACAACCTGTTTGTGTATTTATCTATGTTATGTAAGGTGAGAAAATATTGTTGAAAAAAATTAAGCATGATAATGCACATGCTTAAAAGAACGCAAGTAGCAAGTATATAAAATTAAACATCAAATTGTGAGCGGAAACTGGTGAAATAATAGCTAGAGTTGAAGATGCATCCTCAATCAATTTAACATTCTATGTTTTCCTGTTCTTTTTCTATAATGCAACTAAAGAGGAACAGGGTGACTATGACCACCGTCCTAATTGGTCTATCCTGTTTCTGAATCCTATCAAGAGAAGCACCAGACAATACCTAAAGGCTACCCATTTCACCTCAACAATTGACCTTTACTTGGGACAATTTAGTTATCAAAACCAGTACAATAACCACCCTTCAATTTGCTTATCTCTTGTGTCCCTCCATGTGATCTACACTCATTAAGGATTTAGAAATTTGGTGCTGTCCAGCCCAACACTTAATCCGGTAGAACCAGAAATACATGAGTGAGTATTAATTATTATGGAATTGATCACTGTCAAGCAATACCAAATTTAAGCATGATCCATCTATCTATCTATCTATCTTTACAAAGACAAACCAAAATGCATTGCCAGTGGCCCCAACTAAACAAGAACAATCCTTAAATGAGCTCAGGTGTGAAAAGATTTGCTTCAATTCAAAGGTAACATGCGAAGCAATGCAGCAGAGCAGTAGTAGCCTTCTCTCCCTCCCGGAGTGGGGCATCCCCATCTTGTTTTGCTCAGCTAGTGGATCCTTTTCTCTTCACGCTTCACAGACTGATACCAATATTTCAGCCCCCCAACCCAACTACATCATCTCTGACGTCTGTAACATAATTCCTACACTCTACCCTAGTAGCCCCCTGTTTCCACCTTACCCAAATTCTTGGATCTTGACTTGAAGAGAGAGGCCCGCTTACTTTTTGGGCTATTCTTTCGGCTCCCCAACTTAGGTCCACTAGTCCACTATAAAAAAAAAAAGGCAAAAACTTGTGTCCACTGCTACACCACAGAAAACTTGGGTCCGGAAGTACTATAACTTTTTTTCCTCTTTTTTTTTTTGGGTAGAAAAGAAACTACTGCCATTTGCACATGGGAGCCGGTTTGAAGCACCTGAATCTGGGAAAGCATTCTCCTAATGCACTCTCATGGTTCCACCTGTGTAACTAATGCTTGAATTTTTTTTTAGTTTCCCACTCGGTATCCGGGGTTTCGCCCCGACTACTCCAGACTCGACCAACTGTGATGCACCAGAATGGTGGGTGGATCTCCCAACGAAAGCTGCTACGTACATAAAGTTTCGAACTCGAGACCTTACTTAAACTGGAATAAGCTGCTTACCACTTGATCCAACCCTCGTTGGTGTAACTAATGCTTGAATTGCGCTAGGGGAATTTACTATTCAATTGATGATTTTTTAAAACTCAAGTTGTATAATAGAGACAGTATCTTTTATTCCATTACCTATTTTCAAAAAAAAAAAAAAGAGACAGTCTCTTTTATTTATCACATTCATATTTCACACAACTTTAACTTAAAATATTTTATTTTTATTGAAACGAGATTACAACCAAAAGTCTGGCAAATATTTTTTGAATGGGAACATTAGAAATTCAATGGATTATGTCTTAATTAACAAAAGATCTAATATCATCAAGAAAACTTGTCCCTGGAGGCCTATTCCGTTTTCGAACGTACTCCTCCCCCTCAGTTTCTCCATACTCGGCCAACCCCACCCTGCCTTTCTTCTCCCACATCTTCTCCCCGAAATTCCTATGCGCAAAGTATGCCTCCGCCTCCGCCAAGCCTCCGCTTTTCTCTTCGTACACTTGAACAGATAACCTCTCGTAGTGTCCAATCGCAATGCCCTCCAATTCGTCCAATCGGGCGAGTCCCTGCTTCGACACCTCGTAGAGTTCGCCCCTTACTCGGTGGCCCTGCTCCGGAAGGTTGATGAGGTAGGGGATCCCATACGGACCTACAACCAGCGGGTAAGGATGATGGGTCAGGCGAGTACCCAGAAGAACAGCGTCGCCTGAACTGATCAGATCTTGCATCAGGTAATGGTTGGCGTAGCCCTGTTTCAGTGTACCGTAGGTAAAGATGGGGAAACGTCCAGAGGCAGCCATAACTGTTAAGAATTTGAGACAGATTTGATTTGATCGCCAATAATTGCAGAGAAGCTGCTGCGAAAAAGGAATCTGGTGGCTGGAGCTGCACTGGACCATTCATTTCATTTTTCATTTACAGTGTATATGGCCCAATTAGTTATTGGTCTGGACACTTGGAACGGGCTTGACAATCCAAATCAACAACCGACACAAGCCCAAATAAGTCTTTGACTTGGACAAGAGAAGTAAAGCAGATAAGCAGCATGGTGGGCCAAAGCAGAAAACAATAGGTTTGAGTTTGTGTACGATAAGATGTGTGAACAAATACATTATTAAGACATAGATTGGAAGAAAATGAGGTTTTTGGTTGGCAATTGGGACATGAGGTTTGGATAATAATAATACACTCTAGATCCTTCGTCCCAGAATAATGCTATAATAATTTTTTACTTAGAATTTACCTCAGATTAATTCTTGTTTTTTCATATTTCAAAAAAAATAAATATTTTCTCCTCCATTAATTTTATTGTTATCTCTTATTTTTTTGGTATTTTAAAATCATTTTCTTTTTTTTTTTATATATTTTCTGGATAAATTAAAATTTTAAAGACAATTTATATAGTAGTTTTCGATAATACTTTAAAGAAAATATAAGAGTAAAAGAAAATATTTTGGTGATAGAGTAAATAATTAAAGATAGTAAAAGATATTTACATGATTAAAATTTTTAAAAAAATTGTTTTCTTAAAAATTTTAAATGAAAAACAATTTTTATCATGAATAAGTAATTTTTTTAACAGTATATATGTTTAAATTAAAAAATTTATTTAATTATTTAAAAAAATTTTAAATTATTTATTTTATTTTATTTTTTAATTTATTTACATCTTTCTACTTCCTTCTACTCTCTTCGGATCGTTAAACTAATCATACTGTGAAACCCTTTCCACTGCTTCAATATTTTTTAGAATTAGCTTTTTATGTTTGATAATCATATTAAATTTTATTTAATTTAAAATTAAATTACATTAAATTTTATTTAAATTTTATTTTTATTTATAAAAATTAAATTTAAAATTTTATTTTAAAAAATCGAGTGTCTTTTACTAATCGATGATTTGTTGGCCACTGCTTCAATATTTGATGGAACGCTGGTGTGCGTACGTCTGACGTTAGGTGCACTGCTAACTTGATGACGCACAAGTCCGGGAGGAATAGAAAGTTGCACAAGCGAGCCTCATAATGAGCAAGCCCTGTAGTTTGTAAGTTACAAAAATGACAGAGGGTTCTAGTAATAATAATATAATATAATAAAGACGGCAACAGGCAGATGTTGAAGTCAAAGCTGTTCCACGGAACTTACTGACAATGAGCAAGTAGTGGGGCGGTTTATACATCGTGATGAGGACCTGAACTCGGTGTTTGAATTCTCGACCAATATTGATTCGTTTATTGACATCTTTTAGGCCTAACTATTTGACATAGAGATCAGTTCAAACAAAAAAATATCTGAAATAGAGATAATTTTCTGAAGGTTCAGAAAAAAAATATATATAATTCAAAAAATCTAGACGTCGACGTCGCATTATAATTATTTGTTAAGTAAATTTTAATTAAAATTTTATTTAATAAATAATTATAATAAATATCTTAATTTTTACTTTTGTAATATATATATTGACATGGAGATGTTTGAAAAACTCAAGACCCTGATATAACAGGTCAACACCACTTCAATTAATTAAATTCAGCGATTTTGTGTTCAATTTTCCTCCCTGCAATCATTTAGCTTCAGATCAAAGAAAATTTGCCTCCTGCAATCGTGGACCGTGCTAATCAAAACTAATTTTGGTAAAATTTTCATTTTGATTCAAAATCATTCTAAGAACGAACTTTTTATTATTATTATTGTTATTATTATTGTTGATTTAAGTTATACGGTTAAAAAGTTAAAAATTAAGATTTTATATTTTTAGAGTGGTGGGTTTGAATTTTGTATATGTATTTTTTAATATAAATTGTATATTTATATTGATATGTATTCTTTTTATTTTAAAATAATATATATTTTATTTTTATATTTATTTTATTTTAAAAAAATAAAAAATTTAATAATAAAATAAATAATTAGCAGTTTAAAAAATAATAATAAAATATATTTATCTCCCTTTATAAAGACTTACCAACAGATAAAAATATTTTAAATCATTTGGTTTGCAATATTGTGGACACTATGGGTGTTCGAAATGAAAGGATATTCAAGGGCAGGTCAATTGACATCAACAGAATATTCGATTTAGTTCAAGTTAAGGCATTTCTTTGGTTAAAATAGAGAGGCAAAGGTAATAATATGCTTTTACGTAATTAGATTATAAATCTTAAATTGTGTCTTTGATTTGTAAATAAAAAAAAAGTTTATAGTTGACAAAACTCTACTTTCGTACAGGAAAAATGCATGAAATTTATAAAAAAATCTTTATTCTCTTGTACTCAATTTATAATATAATTAATATTTACTTTTTAAAACAAATAAAAATGCAATATTTACTATATTATTTTGCGAGGGATAGAGTTACCTATACATAATTTAATTTTAATAAAAACATTTGATATAGAAGTCAGGAAGGTGTTTGATTATTTGGGGAGTTGAGAAATGGGTGAGTTGGAGACATTTGATTTGGCGGTGATGTTGGATCGGCTTTCTCTTTAAAAGCAACTGGCGCCCACACACATACTAGCTGATTCCGTCAAAGTTTCCTTTTTTTCATCTTAGTTGTACAGTTTTCTGGGTTGAATATTATCCACCACCTCAGAGTCCCCACGCGTCAGCCCGGCCTCCAACTTAGATATTCTCTTCAGTCTTCACACGCTCACCCACCCACCCACCCAACCCATCCTCTTCCCTTTGTTCCCACATTCAATCAACAGCCTACGCACTTTCCCCCCTTGCACTAATTGTTGCCTTTGCCTCCTGTTAATTAAATCCCAGTGGTAATATTTCACATCACATATATATGTATATATATATATATATATGCATGGACGGTACCCCTTCTTTTCAAGGTAAAATTTTTATAAAAAAAATCTTGAGTTATAAATAATTATTTTTTATTTTTTAACTTAATTTATTTATATATCATATAAGTTGAATTTTAAAATTTTTATTTTAATATAAAAAATTATTATTAAACTATTTAAATTATTAACTTCTTTAATAAACAATTAAACTTCTACTAGCTTAGTGTATCAAATTGTTGTAACTGTAAAACCAAAAAATGGACAGCAACGACTATAAACAGTCTAATAAGATCTATTCCCTTAATTAATAGTTGAGATTCAAATCTTCCGTCCTACAATTTAAACTTGTTAAAAAAACAAAAAGAAAAACAAAATGTGAAACGCCAATATTAATTATTTTTTAATTTTGGGGTTTGTATATTAAAGGACTCTGTCAGGTTAGTACAGTACGCACAGTTACGCCTACCAACTGTCTAATTTTTTGTTGCCTTGGTTATAAAAGGTTAGTATATGACAGGACACTTTCGGTTACAATGAAAAATCCAGAACTTAACCTAATTAATTAAATGAGGAATTTTGATCTAGTATCATCGAATTTTGGATTAAAACTGTTCATTCATTGTAAATTGTACTTTTAAATCTCATGAAAACTTTTTCTTCTACCTTTTAATTAACTTATAAATAATTACAATATGTTAAAAAAAAACAACCTAATTAATTAATTAGCAAATGCATATGGTATTAAGCAGGACCACAATTGGGATTTAGACCTTAATTAAATATCTGGCGATGCCTTAAAGTGAGTAGCAACAACACTCGTACCGACATTGCTGCCTTTATATTCAACCTAAAGGGACGATTTTGGGATACTTTATTATTTGTCCAACCAGAACACATGTGCTAAAGTTCCATAGATTATTTATGTAGATCAATAAATGTTGCAGTGTGTTTGGATTGATCTGCTTCATCCTCTTGCATATGCATGGTCTTATTATAGGTCTCTCAAGGATTCTGATGTTAACTCTTTGTTCGTTATTTTGGTTGCATTGTAACAAAATTTCAAAGTAATAATAATGTGCCTGTTTTTATATACAAAACCAGTTGGCACCTTGCATAAAAACATTGGCTATATTCAAAGCATCAACATTACACCTCTCTCTCTCTCTCTCTCTAAACAAATGGATTTTAATATTAACCATATTACAAATTATATATGAAAAAAGGGATGATGTAAATTTTATGGTGTATTTGTTTTGAAATTTTATAATAAGTTAACAGTTAATTTTAATTAAATAAATTAAATACTTTTAATTATACATTATTATTATTATTAATGATAAGATATTAATTATTAGTTATATTTAAATGGTTAATATTCCAAACACCCCTTAGAGTTAGAGTTTTTAAATTTAGAATTCAAATCGGTGTAATGGTTGAAATTTTTTTTTGTTTTTATAAGGGCAATGATTAGAGATTAGTATGTTAAAGATGTTTGTGGGAGGTATTGAACTCGAGATTTGAGGGTGCAAACCACAAACTGCCTTTTGGAACAGTAAGTGATCACTGGACCACGACACGTGAAATGTGAAAATTTCTAATTGTTTAGAGATAATATGTGCACTACAGCTCATAAATATTGAAAATAGATGTAATTAATTATTTAAATAATTTAATGATTTTTTTTATATAAAATAAAAAATTTTAAATTTAAATTATATGATATATAAATATAATAAAATAAAAAATAAAAAATTATTTCTTAATATACAACTAACACAATATCTATATATATATATTGGAAATCGATGTAAATTAAGCTAACATGCGATATTTCTTTCCATGAAAAGGTAAGGCCCAAGCTGGCAGCGGCTAAAGGGTGTAGCGTACCATTACGTTCACTTTATACTGGGGCATATTCAGAATCAAAGTACCTTGCGTTCGTGTACCCTTTTCTTTTCTTTTTTCTTTTTTTTTTTTTAAAACCACATGCACGACCGGTGGGTCCAAAAATACACGCCATAATTTGCAATGTATTATTAGGTAGTTAATGCTCC